ATATTTAAATATCTAAATTATCTATATTATTTTAAATTATCTATATTACTTTATATGTTACATAGGTATTTAATTTCTTAAAACAAATTATATTATTTATACTTTCTTGCAAGATTATTACTTATATTTTCTTGCGAGCTTATAATTTTTAAGCAATTTATACATCTTACAAATAAAATACAAAAAATAATATAAAATAATTAAATATTGATACAAAGAACTCTATTTCCTAAGCTCTTTGCGTTTGTACAAGTGTATTACAAAATCAATAAATAGTATAATACCAGGATTAAATATACAACCCCAAACTATTTAAATCTATCCATTTTAGGGCAACAAATCTGTGAAAACATATCCAACTGCAATACTTTAATAATAAATACATAAAAATAGTTTAATATAAGTTTCACAGATTTGTCACCCCATATAAAAAAATTTGTCACTCACCGATCCGATGCGCAACAGCGGAGTTAATCTGCAACGTAGCTACGATGATTCTGTAACAGACAAACAGATGCAAATTATAGCAACGCTCGAATAAATATAATAAATATTTTAAAAAGTAATTCTTAATTAATTCTCTGCGTATAGTCTCAAATCTATTTACTTTTCTATTAGATATTTATTAAAATAAATAATATATAATTTTTTAAAAAAGATCTTTATAGAAATAAATTCATATAAAACTTTAAATTTTTTGTTTTTTTCGAAATTATAAATTTTAAATTATTTAAGTTTGAATGATCCAAATAAATGAAAAAATAATTAATTTAATATTGACGAGAAATGTATACGTACCGCAAGGTTGCTCCGCCGGTGCCCGATGCCTCTCTTAGAGACTCCTCCTCCTCCTTTCAAGGTGTCGGGTCGTCGGATGTCCTCGTAGCACAGGACACTCGCGAAAAACACTCGCGAATTATTATAATCGCGCGCGGACTAACTTTCGATAAAAGTCTTTCGCGCGATACTTGACGGCACTCCGCGTTTAGCTACCCGTGAAAATATCAAGTTCCGTCGGTCCAGTTAGCACCCGAGTCGGTGAGCTTTTCGGGACACACGGTAACTCTCCAAGCAAAGGCTAGGACCGAAGCGGAAGAAGACGAATCGACTGACTTGAATCCGACATCTCTTGTTTCTTAGAAATCACGTTTAAAATTTACTCAACCATCACATAGCCAACGGTTCAGGTCGAATCACCAGGGCGGATACCATACACGTGATATCAAACGTCACCCGGGCTATCGAGAAGGCTGGTAGATGTGACGAGAGAGAAGGTACCTACCGCCGATGCCTAACAATCTAGACAATCGGACAACTGGGATCCAGCCTCTCGGCACACGCAATAACCGCCCCGAACTAAGCTCTGACCGAGTCAGATTAAACGCGATTTGTTTGAGAAAGGGAAAGAGTAAGGGATTTATTAAGGAAGGGAAATCAAAGATCATTGGCGATTAAATAATCGCACGCGCCACATAGGAGCCCTTTCATGACTCGTGGCAATGCTGTGTAGAAAATAAGAAATCAAGAGAAGCGACGAAAACAAGTCAGCCGATTAGAAATCTTACCGATTGGGACCGAACCACTTGTCGAAGACAGAGCGTGTTCTCAATCAGCCGTTTAATGCAGTTTACAACTGTGCGAAACACAACACATCAAGCGATAGCGAGTGCGTGTAACATTCACAGCCGGCATCACCAGTGCCGCGGCGCACGTGGCGTGAAGACGTAGCCGACTACGTCTCAATGAGATCCCGCGCTCCCTGCACCCCTTGACAGTGCGACTGACCGGCACGAACTGTGATATTTTTCAAACGAGTCCTCGCAGGACGAGGAAAAGTCTTTTAGTCCGATTTATACGACACTCCCGAAGCAAACGCGCGACGCGACGGACTGGCTGCAGTTCGTTCGTTCAGTTGAATCGGCGGCGGAATGTCGGTTAAAAACCGACAATTAATGCGTGAAACGCATTAATTAACTTTGCCACATAAGAGCCATTGACTCGTGGCTATGCTGTGTTAGTTAACGTTATTAATAACAGTAATATTACCTAATGTTAATATTAATGCTAGTAATAACGGTGCAACGGGTACTGTTAGCTTCTTCGTCTTTGGAAATTCCGTTGGGGAAGCCAACGAAACCCCTCGGAATACTGAGCCCCTCTGCCACGTCAAGGCCGTACCCTTTAGAGGGGTTATCATTCACAAAAGTGAAAGGAATAAGTCGCGTGACATATGTATATATTTTATTAAGAAGTCAGTCTTTCGATACGTTTAATCAATCGTTTAATCAATCGTTAATAAGGATTTACTATTTATACAACAATGTTCGATACCATCTAGCAATGAAAAAATGCGAAGAAACGCGGAGCGACGCGCATCGCTGCCTACCCTTACAAACGCCAATTAAAGAATGATAACACGTGAAGCGCTCGTAAATACAATAAGCACTGCGCGATGTGTACCACGCGTAAACAAAGCTACGACAGCTACAATGTGTGTAAAATGAAATAATCAACAATATTATAAATAATACCTAATTAATACAAGACGCTAAAACATCTTTCGATTACTAAACATTAAATGTAGTCTTTAAGTTTTAAATACCTTCTGAATAATAACGTATTATTGTGTATTTGCTGTTTTGTTTGATAAACATATATGTAGATATTTCATATATCTTATATATATTACGATAAACAATTATTACAACAAATAAATTAGCTGTTACTATACGTATGTATGCATGTACAAAATATCATATAAATTACAATAAAATCTAGAATAAGAATTTAAAAGTGTCCAATGTTAAAGATATTTGAATTTGACCATTATTATAAAGATAATCGTCTGTAATTATCGTGAGTCTAGTATGCGTGTATCGTTTCAATTATGATAGAATAAATTATATTAAATACTTTCAACAATGTTTGTCAATGTTTGCAAATTTTTATATGCCACACAAAATGTAATTAATATGCTTTGAATATTTTAAGAATTAATTTTATATTAGATTACATTCATAAAAAAGGCTGTACCGTTTGACATTTTTTTAATGCTTTTCCGCGATCTTGATTAGTTCTTTCGTTTTACTAAAAAACTATGACTTCAATAATTTTTTAGGTATCTAAAAATAAAGAAAAATTAATTTCTTGAAAAACGAGTTCCGGAAATACTTCTTCTAGTATGAGGTACGCATGCATCTCATATATTATATGTATATAATTTTAATATTTATAAACACATATGATGATGTAAGTATTATTTGATTATTTGAATTTGATTTAAATATAAATAATTTATTTTGTTTCATTAGTAAGATTTTTATATTTAACATAAATGAATTATATAAAACAGTAATTTGCTATTATATAAGAACAGTGTATGTGTGTGTCATCAACTTCAAAGTCAAGAATGTTAATTGAGGAAATGTAAAGTCCATTATAAGCAATATTTGTTATCGGGCAATGTTCGTAAAAAAATTAAGAAAATAAAGAAGTTTTGTTGTAAAAATATTATTGTATTATTATGTCGTATTAAACCGTAATATTTTACAACTAAATTTAAATAAATTGCCATGTCCCAGGATTTCAAACAGCTTTATTGTATATATCTTTGATTTATAAAATCAGTAAAAACATTTTCATGTCACAGTAATGGCTTCTTTCAATATTGGCTCGCTTGACAGACATATAACTACTGTCGCGTATAATGAAAGATTGTACCACTGAAAGGTAGTCCGATGTCGAATTCTCCGAAGAGAAATAGTTTTATCGTCTTCCTCTCCCCCTCTTTAACTCCAGGTCTCGCTGGCAGACTTCCTTTCGTAATACGAAATAAATGCGTGATTTTGGAATTGAAACGACAGAATGACTGATTAATTCGCGCAAAAAAAGCGTGACATGAAATTTCGATCAAGCTAAAGCACGCTATTTTGACTATTACATTACTTCGTCGACGAATACTGCCGACTTCTACGAAATCAACAGAATTCCGTAGCTAATCGATAAAACAAGACTCACATACTTCAATCTATCTCTGACTGTCACCTTTTCAAAGTTTCTTCTGTACGAAACCGTGACGAACTATGTTTGAAAGCGTTTGAAAAAGAAAAATGGCGTCTAACATTCGCGATCTTGTGAGTTTCAAACCGCCTTCCAGCAAAAATCCCGTTGAATTGAATCAAATGGATCAAAAAGTTTTTCGCAAAATTTCTTCTCAAATTTTCAACGTTTAACTTTCACTTAATATTAACGTTAACAATTAATTCTCGGAAAGTGCCCGACCTGACAAATATACGACACAATGAAGATATATAAGATTAGATGAAGAAGTTCTTTTTAAAACACAAAAAAGTACGCAAAAGAATTCGATAACGCCTATTTTTATCAATGTAGATTAACTTTAATCTCAGTTTAATTTATTCTTTATCTCTTACTAATAAAATCTCCAAATGTCAAAGTTTTCAATTTTTATTATTAATAATTATGAGCATATCCAAGATTTTTTCAAGAGAAAAAGTTTATTAATTTTGTTGACACATAAACAGTTTTTTATGTTAATAAATTGCTTTTTTAAATATTTTAAAGCTTATAATATCTCTTCATTCCTGATGTTGAATGAAAAAAATATTAGGTTTTGTAAATCGTAACTTTAACTTTGTTTTTTTTAATTTCAGAGGAGGAATTGAACTTCCTAAATCTCTTGGATATGTTCTTAATTAATTTAATCAATGATTAATTTATTTGACAGAATTATTTAAAACAAACAATCCAATTAGTTCATAATTTAATTTTTTTTCTCTGTGTAAAAAATTAATAATTTTACTTACACTAACAAAATAATGTATATTCGACAAGTTAATCGTCGATTAAATTAATTTGGAATTTGGTCAAATCATTTCTAATATATTTTGAAAATTTATTGTAATATTTGTATTTTCCACTGGAAAACATTTATCTTCAATCGAAAAGATAGACGCTCAGATTTATCGGCCGCGTGAAGCTTCATCAAGAGACATGAGCTAACATGACGAGATTTTGTTGGATTCTGCTCTGCCCCGAATGACCGGAAAACACATGATATTTTCAAAGTATGGCTTTTGTGATGCGGAGTTTGCGAGATTTGTGTAAAGTATACAATGTAAACACGGGAATGACGTATTGCGTCCTTCGACAACCTGTCAACCGAATATCGCTTGTTCTATCAGCGCAAAAATATTGCTACAGTACCGAAAGTGAGCACCATCATAACCTCCACTTGAAAGCATGGGAATAGTATTATCATTAAAATCATTCGAATCACACAAATAAGATATGCTGTCGTCCGGCGATGGAAATAAATAATTTTAATGTTTAATGAATATTTATGTTGGCGAAGAGAACTGTTACTTTTCATTTATTAATCTTTCTAGAATCTACACCAATTACATATATAATTAAAAAAAAAAATAATTGAAGTCTTGCTTTAATATAAAAAAGATTTATTTTTGGTGTATATATATATATGCATAAGAATGTATATTTTATGTGCAAAACTTTTTATTTATCTTCAGCAACAGATCGCCCAAAGATTACTAGTAATCTAACAAACATACAATCATTGATAAATGAAACCGAATCCGTGGTACAGGATGCAGCAACTCATAAAAAACAAAGTGAACAACAAAAAGAAGATGAAGAGGAAAAAGCAAATCGTGAAAGATCAAAAAGAATGATGAATTATGGATTTGCAGCATTTGGTATATCCATGAGCCTTGGCTTTACTTATTTAGTATACGAATTAGGAAGACCTAATTATGATGAACATGGAAATGTCATTGAAGATGAATTTTCTCATTTACCATTCTTTGAACAAATCTACAAAAGAGTCAGGAGAGAACTAAATTATTATACAAGAGTATGATTCTTTTATAATTATATTTATATACACATTTGTTACTTTCTCATTATATTGAATCAAGTTTAGTAAAGCAGTATATAAGAAGCCTTATAAAATAAGTTTGACATTTTTACATTTGTTAAATTCTTTTTATATAGTTTATTTTTTAACTTCAGAAGTGGATTTAACATAGAATTATAAAAATTAATATTAATAATTATAAAAATTAATTTCTTATTATGTTTATAGTTAGTACAGGAACCCAGTAGAGAAAAGTTATTACCTGATCCATTGAAACATCCATATATTCAGCCACCCTATACCTTAGTTTTAGAGTTGACAGATCTTCTTGTACATCCAGATTGGACAGTAAGTATCTTGGAGTTTTAATGTAATTTAATTCAGTAATTGTAATGTGTATATCATATATATATATATATATATATATATATATATATATAATAAATA